TCAACCTCCCAAAAGAAATGGGAGTTTGAAAAAGAAGCAAATTTTGCGACTGCATGATCAACATTATTGGCCGAGCGACACATATGTCGAAGATGTCTAGACTCTGCCGCTTGAGACATGAGAACATCAATATCTTTAGCCCACGAGCGAATATAGCCATGTGTCTCGTTGAAGTCGTTAACTGCTTGTACCGCCAACAACGAGTCCGTGTAAACAAGTAAGGAGTTTTGGTGCAACAATCCACATTTACCCAAACCTTCTTTGATTGCCATGAGCTCACAATGGATGACTGAACTCGGATTTCTGACTGGCTTACCAAAACCAAAAAGAGCCCTGCCTTGATCATCACGAGTGATTCCCCCTATACCGAATTTGCCAGCTTTCATATCAACACTTACATCCACATTGAGACGCACTGAATTTCTGGGTGGAGGGTGCCATTTGAGGTTGCGTTGACTATCTTCTGAGCACTGAGAATGCCGAAAAGAACCAACTGAAATTTGAAAATTATGTACTATGCTTTCAGCTCCACCAACTAACTTGAGCCCATCATTAAGATTAGCACCATGTACAACCCGTTGTCTTTCTTTCCAAATTAACCAAGTAGTCAAAGCAAAGTTTTCAAACTCGTGCATTGTCAAGCTTTGTTGCATCCAAATACAAAAGTCCAAAGTAGGCACAATTTGCGCTTTCTTAACAAGAGATATAAAAATCGTATTCTTCCATAGTGGCACCACCCGAGGACATAAAAAGATGGAATACAAAGATGAATCAAGATAATTATTACAAAGCTTACAGCCACTGGAAGAAGGAACATGGTGTTTAGCAAGATTTATACTTGATGGAATAAAATCGTTTGCTAAACGCCACCAAAATATTTTAACACTTAAATTAACTAATAATAACTTATATATATATATATATATATATATATATATGTTATCTAAATATGTTTTTTGAGTTGACTGGCATTATATTATATTAAAAAATAAAGAAGATAAGCAAGATGTTAGTGCATTTTCTTTCATTGTGTCAAAGATTTTAAACCGTAAATTGTTTGGAATCCCACATCGCTTGAGATAGGTAAAATGAAGGAGAGATTTGGCTATAAATTGAGGCACAAAAAGGCACTTTTCTTGCCAGCTTTCTACTTCAGAAAACCGTGAGGTGGACTAGTGGATCAGCTATTAGTAGAAAATTAAAAGAGAGGAAATTGTAAATTTGGTCCCGTTAGATTGAGGATCGTAATTTTAGTTTTTAATTAATTTTTATTGCGTAATTGGTCTTAAATTTAATTGATTGTTAAGTTATCGTTTGTCATTACTCCTAAATATTAAAAAAATTGCAAATATAGTCCCATAAGATTAGTTTTATTGATTGAGAGGATCGTAATTTTAGTTCTTAACTAATTTTTATTGCGTAATTGGTCTCAAATTTAACTGATCGTTAAGTTACCGTTTGCCATTAATCCTAAATATTAAAAAAATTGCAAATATAGTCCCATAAGATTAGTTTTATTGAAAATTTAGTCCTAAATATTGAAAAAATAGTTTTATTATTAATTTTTGTTGTAATTTTTACTGTGAGTATATAACAATATTTGTTAGTAAAAATTTAAATTTGAGATAAAATAATAATAATTACTATACAATGTTTTCTATATTTAAAATTAATTTTTATTGAATAATAAATATATTTAAAAAATAATAATTATTTAATTTTATTATAAATATAGAATTCTAGAGGTTAATAAAATTCATAAATAAAAATAAAAATAAAAGTAATACTAACTAATATTGGTTTGAAAGTTCGGCCAAACTTGTTGTTGAATCGAAAATCAGTCAACTAAACGGTTTGATTCCTTTAAACGGATTGGTTTCCAATGAACCGATTAGATTTAGTTGAATGGACTGGTGAATAATATATATATATTTTAAATAAGTTAATAAATATTTATATTTTTTAATATAACAAAAATATAAGTTTAAATATATTTGATATATATAAATTTAAATATATTTGAATTTATATTATTATATTTTCTGTATTTAAAATAATTTTAATTAAATAATAAATATATTTACAAAATAATTATTCAATATTATTATAATTATATTGGTTGATAAAAAATAAAAATATAATTTTAGATGTTAATAAAAAATTAAAACATAAAATAAAAATAAAATCAATTACTATTATTTTTAATTTTTAGAATCGGTCAAATGGTTGGATTACTTTGAACGAACTGTTTTTCAATGAACCAGTCAGAATTGGTTGATCGGATTGGTCAATTGTGTGTGTATATATATATATATATATTTGATATATAATTTTAAATTGGTTGATCGGACTGGTCAATTTTATTATTTGATATATTTTTAAATTCATATTTCTATATTTTTTTATATAACACAAATATAAACTTAATTCATATTTGATATATAAACAAAATATTTTTTATTAATTCATATTTTTTAAATTCATATTTGATATATCACAAAAATATTTATATATTTTTTAATATAAAAAATATAAACTTAAATATATTTGATATATATAAATTCAAATAAATTTAAATTTATATTATTATTAATATATTAAAAATTTTAATTGCAATACAGTGTTTTCTATATTTCAAATATCTTTAATTAAATAATAAATATATTTAAAAAATGATCATTTAATTTTATTATGATTGTAGTGGTTGATAAAAAAATAAAAATATAACTCTAGAGGTGAATCCAACAGCACCAATAAGAAGTAAAATACAAATCAGAGTTATGGCATTCAATCTCATATTGCAAGAAATCCAAGAATTTCCCATTTTGAGATTGTCAGGAAGGGCAAGGGCTGAAAGAAAGTCAAAAGAGGGTAAAGAAATACGAGCAATCCGCGGGAATAGCAAATGCTTTGATTTGTTGCTTGCTTGCAAAAGGGGGCTTCTCCTCAAGCTCGACCACCTTGGCCCTAACCAAACGAAGCGAAGCGCAGTGCTGACAGGAGTCCATTACTGGTACTTTATTTCGCTATCAGAGGCTCACTCTGAATCCATAGTGTGATCCTTCTCTTAATGGTAGAACAAAAATCAAAATAACAAAGGTTTATCACTCTATCTGTGACGCATGGGATGACTCTTCTTTTTTTGACAATTCTTTCGGAAACTATCGAGAAGGACATCCATTCAAACCACTTTTGGCAAAGTGAGACTGACGCCGCCTGCCAAAAGGAGAGATGAAATTGACGACTGTTTCAAGGTTTGCTTATGAACTAGCCCTCAGACAACCCAAAGAACGAAGCGAAGCGCCTCTGTAGAAGAGCGTCGTTTATGACTGCAATCCCGGGCGATGGGCAGGACGTGGATTTTTGGTATGGTAAAGCGATTTTCTCAACAAAGAGTTCTGACCTTTATCCCCAACCCACAACGATTGATTCTGGGCTTCAAGGGAATCCGGTTGAACCCAACGAACGAAGCGAAGCGAAGCGAAGTGAAGGAAAGGTTATAACTTGGAATTTCAAAAAGAGCTTTGGCAGCTCAATGATTTCCCTTCTGAGATGGACATTTCCTTCGTACCTTATCTCCCGCCCACCCATGGTCCAACTGCCACCAAGCCCTATCCTGGAATCTCAATCATCGAATAAAACTTCTCACCCCTAATTTGTCCCATTGTCAGCTCAGTCGAGAATTTTCTTATATGAATCCTCTTCGTCTGGAGCGCGCGTGGAAGTTCTGAATTAATCTATTATCTTAAGGGGGATGAACGACTTGCAGAAAGAATACATGAACTTGAATTACGGGGAGGGGGTCTAGAGTCATCAAAGAGTGACGGATGAAGGCTTTGGTAGGAGATCGGTATCGGATCCTTGAATCCAGACCCATGCTTCCTTCGTTAACTATGACATCAGGAAATGGGATCGAAAGAATTGGTCGGGGTGCGNTCTTATTAACAATACTTTTATGACAACATGTTTAATGATTTATGAATATTTGTATATCATTTTATTAATATTTATGTGAATTAAATAATATTTTATTATAATATTTATTAATGTACAGTAAATATAAGATTTTCAGAACTGGACCGTCATCGAAACGATCAAGCTATTTTATTAAATCATTTGTGGTTTGTTCAGATTTTAATTTATAAACATTTTAATATATATATATATATATACATATATATATATAGTACTTTTTGTAATAAATTTAAATAAAATGTGTTACTTAGATATCTAAACAATTTATAAATTCAAATGTTTAAACTAATTGATAAATAATTTATAAATCTCTATTTTATTTAAAATAATTTTAAATATAACAAAATTTATTTAGAAAATCGCATTGATCCTACAAGTCCAACCGACTGGTGTTGACGGATTCGAGAGAAAATATTTTATTCAAGCAAACTAGACTGGTTTTAAACCGGTTCTCGGTCCATCCGGTCGGACTGTGTCCAACCCGATTTAATTTAAAAATAATTGATAAATTATAATGTTATTCATATATTTAATTTATAATACAATCGTAATATTGTTTTCCCGTGTATCGCACGGACCATGCACTAGTTTCTACTAATTAGAACAATTTTTTTTTTCCTTTCAGTTTTCGTGTTCTTATCTGTAAAAAGTCGAAATCAAATTGTGTTTTTGGTATCTGAAAATCGATTACCGACCTCTAATCGATTCAATTTTAATTTCGCATTTTAGTGTTACCGAACATAGCGGTTCGGTTACCGAACCGATATCAGTCCTATTATAAATCATTTTTAGAATAAAAAATAATATTAAAACATAATTAATGCTTCTATAAAAAATATCCAAGATATTTATGATTATTTCATATCTAGTTATTCTTGGATTGAAATTAATTTAAAATCCATTCAAGTCAGATCAAAAAACATAAATAGAAATTCCCATAAGTGGAATCTACGTAGCACAATGAAAACAGAAAAAGTATGTTCAGCCGCATCAGGTTCGTAATTCGTTTGTCGAATTTAAATNNNAAAAAAAAAAAAAAAAACAGAGGAAAAGAGAAGTAAAAAGGAACGCACTTGCTCTGGATGTGTAGTCTAGGTTTGACTCGTCGCATCCTTCGGAAACCTCACTTCCACACTCCGAAGACCCTGCGCGCCTCCAGCGGCAAACAGCAGTCGTCCACGGCCGCCGCAGCTTGTAATACTCATTACTCGTGTTTAAACAATGCCTTTATCTATGAACATTGATTTCAGCTTTTGTTTCGACAAGTTCATCCTGCTGTTAATTGAACCACACTGCTGCAGCTGCACGCTGAAGCTTGACGGGAGAGCACACGGAGAATGCAGAGCTTGAGGGTTTTTCCCCGAAGCCCACCAGCAGCAATCACATCTGCTACAGCTTCATTGCCTTTATTCAAGTCTGCTTCTCTCCCAGTCAATCGGAACATGAAATCATCCAATAGTTTTGTCCTAAAAGTCCCTCAACACTATTGCAGGGCTTCTTTGGAAGCTCAAGATGCTTCTCCCAGGTATTGTTGATTATAGTTTGATTCCTCCTATTGTTGAAGCTGAATGCATTTCCTAGGTATACTGTGTTTTATTCGAACCTTTTTAAAGATGTTTTCCGTGTTGTAATCAAGTTCTCGAAAATCTTCATTGTATTCATGTTCGAGGCTTGACACAATCTTGATACACCTCAGAACAACTACTGATTCAAACCCACGTTTATCTTGTGCTCTGGCAACTTAAGGAAGTGTGGGCTTTGTTTTCTCGAAGTAGCAGTAATACTTGTTTCTGCATAATTATTCTATCTGCAGGGACTCCAATCAACAGGTCCATGGGCTGTCACAAACAGTTGTGGGTGTTCTCGGTGGAGGGCAACTTGGGCGTATGTTATGCGAAGCAGCTTCCCAGATTGCCGTGAAGGTGGTAATACTAGACCCAATGGAGAACTGTCCCGCAAGTAACTTATGCCATGAACACATGGTGGGAAGCTATGATGACAGTGCTACTGTTGAAGCATTCGCCAAAAGGTCAGATTGGGCGAATGCTTTTTGGGTTAGGAGTAAAAGTGAAGTTTTTAACTTACTTGGACTGTGACTGTAGATGTGGGGTGTTGACCGTTGAGATTGAGCATGTTGATGCTGCAACTCTTGAAAGGCTTGAACAGCAAGGGGTGGATTGCCAACCTAAAGCTTCAACAATCCGGATCATTCAGGTTATTTATTACTTTATTTTTCTTGCCGGAGGCATTATTACAGTAACTGATTGTTATGTAACGTGTTGAAGTAAGTAACTTCTGATCCAACAGTTTGTTAATCACTTTCTTGTTTGCTAGCTACTATAAGAAAGCTTTATACCTTTATTTTTCTTTCCAAAATGGGGTTATGATAATATTTAGATGTTTTTGTTTATTTCGTTCCACTGGATTCTTTTTGCTTTTGCTATTTTAGTTTACAGAGTTGGATCAACACTACAGTTTTCAGCCTCCTAGTTAACTCACTCATAAGATATCTTAGTAATTTTCTTCAACTACCCGTTTTAATCATTTATATTTTGCACCCCATTACGGTAGTTTCCATATTGAGGAAGAATAATATATCTTGACTCCCAACAATGAAGAAATTGTCTTATTATTTACTTTATACGATTTCATATAATGATGTATTTTATCAACATCAAGATTATTCTTTTACGCATATTTTGGAGGTTATTAATTGGTTGCATTTCTGAATGAGAGTGCTTCCCCCATCCCGGCATTCTCTAAACAACAGTCAAGTGATTCAGGTTCGGTCTATTAATGGGACTGGATCTCTAGTCAATTCTATCAGTGAGAGATATCGGAAAACAAAAGACAAAATCTGGCCGTATATTCCTGCAGTGGCTGCCTGTGGCGCTGCCATAACCGCCATCCATCGCAAATTTCTCATGGCCATTAGGCCGAAATCGGCCACGGCCACTATTTGATATCACTGTCTCTAGCATCAACATGTCATTATATTGCTTTGGCCACTGGCAAAATTCTTAATTTATGTTGGGTGGAAGAGTTTCAGATTTTATAATTTACAGGAATCTTTCTGATAAATTTCGCTTAATATCTCAAAATCCTTTAGATACTAATGATGTGTGGTGTGGATATAAGAGCCCCAACTGTGTAGTGATTTGCATTAAGCCATTAGCTTTGGTCATAAGAATTTCTATAGACCTGTGTTCCTGTTAAGAGCTGCATCTTTGATCAATATATCAATAATCATAATAGTATCGTCTGAATTATGCTGAAGTATTGCTTGGATTCCCACCTTTTCAAGCTACAAAGTGGGATTCTTTTATTTGCTTTTAAGGTTGTTTCTCTGGTTGCTGTTATGTTTGGTTCTCTTTGTTTAGGTAATAGTCAAAAGATAATAGTATAGTATATTAATTGAACCAGTGATGTAATTTCTGTATGAGTAATGCTATTCTGTCTGGTCCGCTCATTCAAAAAGAACTTTCTATTCCATGCAGATCTTACAACCTGTATGCTAACTTATGCTTCGAGTAACATGTTTGCGAACAGGATAAGTACCTTCAGAAGGTTCACTTTTCAAGACATGCAATCCCATTGCCTAAGTTCATGCAGGTAGTTTTGATTTTCAAAATGATTGGATATCTGATATCATGTATAACTTTATCTATACCTGATAAAAGATTCTTCGCCTTGTGGGGAATGTCTTTGGCAGATAGATGATCTTGATAGTGCAAAAAGAGCAGGAGACCTATTTGGTTACCCCTTAATGATAAAGAGCAAGAGGTTGGCTTATGATGGACGAGGCAATGCTGTAGCTAAAAGTGAAGATGAGATTCCTTTGGCAGTAAATGGCAAGACTCTTATGTGCTTTTGTTTCCAATTATATGATTTAACCCGTGTGGATTTAATTATATCACACCCGTGTTAGTAACCAGTCCTTTGATGCAAATTCTTTTGTAGTCAGTTGTCTTGTTAGATGAAAGTTTAAGACTATAATGATGCTGCTCAATTTAACTTGCATCTATAAACTCTATGTATCTGCATGTTATTGAGTTGAAACTGAAAATAGACTATTTGTTGGTGGTACTCTCAATAAGCAGGGTGTTTTTTTCACTCGATATACTACACATCTCTTCTTTATTTTCTGCATGTGATTTGTCCAATTGTGTAGATTAAGATTTTTATATATGTTGTTTTACCCGATTTTTTTCTATCTTTTTGCAGCCCTTGGAGGATATGCTCGAGGTTTATATGTTGAAAAATGGGCACCATTTGTGAAGGTCAGCTTCTATTGGGTGACTATGATTATGTGTTGTTCCCACCATACAAAAATGGCAGTAGAATGCTCTAATAAAATTTATGTGGTTCTCCACTACAATCTAATACAGTTGTGATTGAGTTGATATTTGAGGGACAATTTTTAGAATTGAGTGCTTGTAAGCCTAGGCTTTTTCATGACCTTGTATTAGGTTGACATTGTCATTGTCCCATGTTGATTGGCAGCCGACTTGCTTTGTTATTGTCTTATTAACTATTTCATTTCATTTTTAGAGTGTATGCTTCACTTACGACATGATACCTTCTTGGTTTAGCTATATAAATGCTTGTTGTGACTGCATGCAGTCAGTGAAAAAGAAATAGATTAACTATGAAAGTAACATAAAATTAAATAGAACACTCAACTGAGCATAGACCTATTCAAATGTTACGATTGGGCTACATTTTATCCTACAAGAAAAGAATTAATGTCATACAAATATTCCGAAAAATGATAGAATAAAAATAGTAGGATGAAAAAAACTGAATTTCTCTAATTTGCTTATGCAATTATATTTCCGGGTCAGATATCTTCTAAAAAACCTGCTTCTTGGTTCATCTTGAAAGTGCTTGATACGGAAGCTGACCTTTTTCCCTCTCTTCTATGCACTTGTTTGTTGAAATGGTGTGGGATTTGTTTGAATCCTTTTAATTTGCAGTTCCTAAGACACAATACTGGCTCCCTTGTGTTCTTACTTTTCCCACTTATGCGTCTCTGAATAAGTTCATAGATGCATATGATGCAGTTCCTACATGCTCCTGCTTTTGCTGTCAACCTAATTTCATTTCAATATTACTATCTTTTCTGGTCCATTGACACTTCTAACTAACATCTAAAATTCTCATATATCAGTTATGAACGAAAAAGTTTGGCATAAAATTCAGCACATGATATTCATGTCATAGAATGCAAAACAACTTAGCGCAAGTCCATTTGATGAAAGTCAAATCAAACTTTCCATCAACAGAGTTTTGAAACTTTTGGTGGCCATTTTCTTTAATTCAAACTGGGAGCACGAATGAATTAATTATTGATGTACCCATTATTGATTTTTTTCCTCTAATAAATTATTATTAAAGGTTTTATAATGATAAGGCTTTGGGCAGGCAAATAATTTAGATCCTCTATTTTCATTAATGCAGGAGCTTTCTGTCATTGTGGCTAGAGGAAGAGATAATACGATAGTGTGCTATCCTGTCGTGGAAACTATCCACAGGCAAGATGCTTCTTCTATTGTGTGCTGTTTTCTATTTCATCTCTTTGGACTATGTAATCCCATCCGAACTAATACTTGTATAGATATTCTACTGTTCGCAGAGAGAACATTTATTCTAGCTATCCCTAGTACCTAATAATTTATTCTAAAATCATTATTCGCAGAGAGAACATTTGTCACATTGTCAAGTCACCTGCAAATGTATCTTGGAAGATCCTTAAACTTGCAACAGATGTTGCCTACAAGGCTGTGAGTTCACTGGAAGGTGCTGGCGTGTTTGCGGTTGAGTTGTTTTTGACAACTGATGGTCAGGTTGTACATTCATATTTTCTGTGTTACATATATCTTAGTCTAATCATGTGAACATCCATGTGAGTGTATATATTTTTCCAGCTTTGCATTCGCTGTAGCGTAATAAATGCTTATGCATTCATTCTCAGATCTTACTGAATGAAGTGGCTCCTAGACCTCACAATAGTGGACATCACACAATTGAGTCCTGTTTTACTTCACAATTCGAGCAGCATTTAAGGGCTGTTGTTGGACTTCCACTTGGTGATCCATCAATGAAGACTCCAGCTGCTATCATGTACAATATACTTGGTGAAGAAGAGGTAAACTGATTTTCTATGAATTGTTATCTCCTAACAAGAGTGAAATTAAGTGCTACCGTGGATCATAATGCAAGCAAGATTGGTATATGTGTGATGAATTAATGGAACATGTAATTAGTTGGGAAAAACATTATCGCAAGCTTATCGTCATTAGTTGTCAGTGCGAAGCACACAAGTACTGTGTGGTAGTTTGCTGGTGTATGTTTCAATTACCTCAGACCATTAAAAATACTAGTGGTGTTATTGGAAGCTGTGCCATGGCCTTACCTCATTTGGAAATATGATTTGTGGTACGTAATGTTCTCTAATCAAAGAATGACATTTTTAAATAAATGTAGAGTTGGAAGATAATTATTGTTGACACATCAGGGAAACCTTAGGTGATTATAAATCTTACCTTTCCTTGGTGGAGGGAGGCCTTGGAGTTTCCGTGCTTGGTAAATCAGTGATTTATCTTCAGCGGTTCTCATATATTGTTTTTATAATTTGTTACAGGGGGAACCTGGTTTCAATATTGCGAATCAACTTATCGGACGAGCACTGAGGATCCCTGGGGCAACAGTTCATTGGTATGATAAACCAGGTAGGTTAAATTCTCAATTTTTATTTATTTATTTATTTTTTGTTTAATAATATATTAGTTGTAGTGCCCTTATTTTGACTCAACATTGTAGAGATGAGGAAGCAAAGGAAGATGGGTCATATCACATTAGCTGGCCCTTCTATGGGTATTGTTGAAGCTCGCTTGAAATCCATGTTGAATGAAGAAGCAAATGAAAATCACCCTGCAGGTCGGTTGTGTTATTGGGTCAATTGCTATAAATTCCCCGTCTATATTTCCCTGAAAATGCATGAAGTCCATGAGTTAAGATAACAGCCTAAGAAGCCACTCATTTACTAATAAGAGTCTGCTAAAGCTCCCATTTAATCGCAGTTTAACAGAGTTCTTACTGTACATTGCGCATATGGTGTTAAAGTTGATAGGATATCATGCTTTGAGACACTTATAATGTAAATACATATAAATTATAATATCAATGCAAATAGGTGAAGCTCAGTGAAGCTCACCATCCCTATTTCATTTCAGTGATTCGGAATTTTTTATTGGTTCCTCTACTTCTAAATTCCTCTGAACTTTATGTGTTAGTTGCCAAATTTATATCTTTTAAATAAATGCATAACATTAAATCAAATAATATCAAAACAATCCAAGAATTAAACTACTGATAATCTATGCCCTATACCCTATAAAGAGAAATTTCTATGGATGTGAGTAATTAATAACAGGAGCAAAATAACAACACTAACAACAACGACAAAAACTGAATTCTTATTTTATATATTTTTAATAATGTGTGTGTATATTTGTAGTTTTAAGTTTTTATTTAGTAATTACCAACAATAGTTATTGAATGTTACTTTCCTTTTGATTTATTATAAACAAAACAATTCTAATTTACTTGAAGAAGCTACAGCTATAACTTGTTCGTGTACTCGTGTGCACGCAAATCAAGTTTAAAATGGATAAAGGTCTTGAATTTGGAGTGTATAATTGAAAATTTTTCCAGTTTCGCAATAGAAAAATCTTTAGTTAATATTTTCTGTTGCCTCCAATTTTATTGGTTATAATAGGTAGTTGTTCTACTGCAGAATCACCACGAGTTGGAATCATAATGGGCTCCGACTCTGATCTCCCTGTTATGAAGGATGCTGCAAAGGTCTTAAGAGAGTTTAATGTTCCGACAGAGGTTATTTCACGCACTGCATAATGTGATTTCGTGAGGCGGCATGTGTATAATCGTTCATAATAATTGATTTGCCAGCCTTAATCGAATATATGTTTCACAGGTAAGAATAGTGTCAGCTCATCGGACTCCAGAAATGATGTTTTCTTATGCTTCATCTGCTCGGGAGCGTGGTATCCAGGTCATCATTGCTGGTGCTGGAGGTGCCGCTCACTTGCCAGGTGTCGTATACTTAGTAACACAATGCATATTTCAATTTGATCAGATTTATTTTGTTTTGGAGCTAGAACTTGGTTGTAAAATATTGTTTACGTGGTTAGGCATGGTAGCTGCTTTGACCCCCTTGCCCGTGATTGGTGTTCCTGTTCGTGCTTCTACATTAGATGGACTGGACTCCCTGTTGTCTATTGTTCAGGTTCTTGGTCCCCTTCCTATATTTCCTGTGGGTGTGTATATCATATTATCAACTATTTGGTTTGATGGATTTATTTGCATCCAGTAAGATGTCTAGATTCCCTTCCCCATGATCATTATTTAAACTTATCCTGACCCAAAAAAAAAAAAGCTTAAATAGCACTTACCATTGTGGCTTTCTCATGCTCATGAGGCACACAAGTATGTCGCAGTTTGCTGTGAATATATATAATTCTATGTTTGGTCCATGTCTTGGAGTTCGGAATTAAGGTCGTGCAGCCAAAATCCTAAATGTGATTATCCAAAGTTGCCTGACACCCTGGATTTATTTGAAGTGTGTTTGTGCTTATGCTATGTCTTTCGTGCCTAAATGCAGGCAGTGAGCTCTCAAATGTGATGCCAGAAGCAATGCCCCTAGAGCATTTTTTTTTTTTTTTTTTTTTTTTTNAGTTCAGTTATTTTATTCAACCATTAGGATAAGTTCACTCTAATTCTGTGTTTAGGAAGTAATGAAGTTCGTTTCAATAGATGAAATTGACCATTTTATCAGCACATGATACCGTTTTAGAACAATAGCCAATAAGAATGTGAGGTTCTCAGGAAAAATCTTCTGCCAAGCTTTAATAAGTAAATATGTAAACTAATAGTTCCCTACATCTCCTACCTAGAGATAGTCTAAGCATGAAGCCTACCAAGTGAGAGCGGCCCACTGGCAACGGTAATAGCTGATAAATCTGAATAAGAAAACGTGACATGATAATAGCTGATAAATATGAATGTTGTCAGCACGTGGTATTTATGTTCTACTTCTATATTTTTATGGACTTAAAAAATGGTTATGAACTATAAACCATTTTTCTTGTTGTGGTTCATTAGATGCCAAGGGGAGTCCCAGTTGCAACTGTGGCAATAAACAATGCTACAAATGCAGGTCTGCTGGCAGTAAGATTGTTGGGAATTAGTGACATCGATTTGCAAGCTAGGTGAGACAATGTCTACTGCCCTGTTCTTCTTTGTTTTCTTCTGCCTTTTATGTAAATTGCTTACTGGGCTGTTGGGGTCTTTATTGCACAGGATGGCCCAATACCAAGAAGATAGAAGGGATGAGGTGCTGGTAAAGGGTGATAAACTGGAAAAAGGAGGTTGGGAAGACTACCTCAATTCATGAGAGTTTTGGGTGCTTTTCTTTCCTGAGTCGACTTTTTTGTTTCCCCCAGCTTGTCTGACCAAGAACAATATTTGCGAGCCCAATAAATTGAAAAAGATGCACAAATGTTGAAGACTGATTGATAGCTGCTTAACTACTGATTTTGGATGCATAGCATGGAAAACTAAGGTCAGATACGCCTTTCTAGCAGATCATTCAGCTCAATTCGTAGGTTGCAGCTTTTTTTTTTTTTTTCTTTTGATTGACTTCTTCAATCTTTGTTTCGACCTGGAGTGTAGTAGTGTAGATACTGCCCGTCTGGGGATTTTGCAAATATTTTCTTCTGTATTTTTTCTTTAAAGAGTGGAGATCATCATGACTGATCAAACTAATGTATCTGTGGTGTGTACCAATTTGGTCTGCCTGTGCCCATCCTGTTCTTCAACATTGAGGCATTTGGAATGTGGCCAGCTGAAGATACTTCTAAGTGGTATCATTTGATTTTTCAGAAGGTGGTCTCATTTACTCTTGAATAAAGGGATACAATGGTAGTTTTGATGATAGTATAAGTGAATCAAGGATGTTGATACTTAGATAAAAGGCATTGCGGATTTGGATGAGAAATGAAAAGAGATGATAGCCCATAATACTTTTAGATGTATGCTTTTACTGTATAGAGCCACTTGGTGTGAACTATCAGGTATGTTTACGAAGATTATCTGGTAGAATAGGCAGTTTTTCGTCAGTTTTGCCTTTCTAAATTCATGAATAAATGAAATAGCAAAATTTTGTTTTGTATTAGTTGAACATATTACTCCCGAGAAAAAATATTGGTACTTATAGAGTTAAAGATATAACTGTAATTTATAATCATCAGGGAAGGATATCACTACAACTAATTTGCCTCAGTGATGATGAAATCAATTGAAAAAATAGATGTTTAAAATATGCCCTTTTAAACGCCATAATATATGAGAGAAATAGTGAGATTGAAGTTTGCTTCTCATATGTCAAACTAGTATGACTTGGTGGGTTCAATTTTACTGGTGACTGTGACTGTGCTGTAGTTATTAGCAATTTTATTGTTGAATCACACACCAGCGGGAATAAATTTAATGATTGCAGTGAAATCATCGGTGTAGGTTGAATTGTACCGTAAGACTCATAAACTCCTATGTTGTGTTACTTTCCGTTTTCTTGGACTTGAGGTTTTTTTATCACAAAAGGCGGACTTGGATGTTGATCAATGTTTAAAATGAGGGCTAGAGCACTACTAACATGAAGTTCTTGAAGAGATCTTTGCATATCTCGATACAATGAGAATATATTGAGCTCTAGATTGCGATTGAGCTAAATATAGTATGATAAATTTGAACATGGTGGATACCGTTACATATAAGTAATAATAGGACTAGCAATCAATTTGTGTGATACTTAACTTCACTTTTAAGCTGTCATAATAGTGTCATAATAGTGTCCGTCCATGGACGAGTCTCTACTTCATGTTCTTCGTGATAGCCCAGACGCTAATCAAGTATGGGTCCCCCTTGTTCCGCCGCGTGTTCGTCACCTTTTCTTCAATTTAAATTTGAAGGAATGGTTCGCTTGTAACTTATTGAACTTGTCTGATGGGAGTGTTTGTTTGGAGTGACCTTGTGGAAATTATGGCAATAGTGTAATATTGCTATTTTTCAAAGTCGTGGTAAGGAAGCCAATGAAAAGGTTCATGAGGTCAATAGCTTCGTTAATGGAGTACTCCAATTTGCGAAGAGCGACAAGAAACTTAGTGGCACCGGTGTTTCTCGTGGCCAGCGTCTTATCCGTTGGGTGGCTCCACCGACGGGTTGGGTGAACGTGAATTCGGACGGGGTCTATAACAAATCATCGGGTATGGCTTCAACTGGAGGGTTGATTCGTGACACTCATGGAAAATGGTTTGGAGGTTTCATGAGAAATATTGGGATGTGCTCTATCACGGGAACGGAGTTATGGGGGTTATTTCATGGTCTTAGTACGGATTGGGATATGGGATATCGTCAGGTTGAGGTGGAAGTGGACAATGGCAACATCGTGGCTTTTGTGAATAGTACAGAAGATTTAAGGGGTGTTCGCTCTGGTTTGGTTCTCAGGATACGAGAACTACTCAGTTGAGATTGGCGGACCAAGATTTCTCACATCTTTTACGAGACGAATTTCGCTGCTGACTTTTTGGCATCTCAGGCAGCCCCGAGCCCTTTCGGTCTCCAACTTCTTTCAATTCCACCGTCCGTTGTTGTCTCGCGACTCGAGCATGATGTTATTGGTGTCTCTTATCCTCGGAACGTTGAATCCTAACGTTGCCTGGCATTAGTCTCTCGTGTACCAAAAAAAAAAGAAAAAAAAAATTGTGTGATACTTGCTCGACATTGCTTTGTTCCATCTGTCCCTACAAAGTTTTTTTTTATTTTTTTTTATTTTTTATTTATTTATTTATTTATTTATTTTTTAACAAAACTAGTAAAATGTGTGAATCTTTGTATAAAAACAATCCATGTAAGTAAATAGAACATTTAATGGGTCACAATATTTTACTTTAAAAATAAATAATGATTTGCGGCCATGGAGAGAGATCTTAGTTTCTTGCTTGGCCAGAAACAACGAACCCGATAAGAAATCGCTCGCGAATATTCTAGCCGTGAGTTATGACCGTTGGCACCAGTACAATAGATCGAGATTTCCATGTTTTTGTAATCCTAAGTTGTTATATTACAAACCATTAGATCATTTAAAATTAATTCACTCTAATCAAAATCAATTTTGACTCGTTACTTCACTTCGATAGTATCTAGAGATCTTTAGAGCATGATTTGATACAAATTCAACTAAGAAAATCCAATTATTTTTAATTCAACCATCTTTTTTTAACTCAACTTTAACTCAACCCCACTATCATAAATATTATCAATATAATTAAATAATATCAATCAATCATTCTTACACACAACATCAACCTTAATTTACTATTTATCCACTCACATAAGTTTAACTAACCATCACATCACATCTTCTCTCTCCTATTTTTACATCAATTTAATTTTAATTATTTTATTTTAAATATTTATTTTAAAATAACCTTAACAACTAATCATACCAACTTTTTCAAATTTAACAAACACAAACCAAAACCCAATCAAAATAAAAACGTTTTATATCTGAGCATGCTCTGAAGTCCTTAAAAGTTTTAATTGAATATACCATAATTTTTCAAACTCTAAATTAATAATCCCTCCTATTTTAAATATTTGTCATCCTGGCTATCAACACACTAATTAAGAAATATTTTTCTTTCCAAGTTTAACCCTATTTAATGACACAATTATGAATGGATGTTCTTGGGAATATGGAGAGACAATGGGTATTGATGGAGGGGTTAAAAGGGAAAAATATGAATAAAAACTACAAAACAATATTTATTTAATAAATGATCAATTAAGTTAGAATGACAAATATTAAAAATAAGAGGGAGTAATTGATTTACCAAAAATTCATAATTGATAGAAATAAAATCTTAATTTGATATTTCTACTTTTTCGAGTTACACATCGATGGAATTTATTTATATATATTGTATTTACTATCACCCAGGTTAAACTGGTCATCTACATCAGCATAAATTGAAACCCTAGAACAGTTATCTTTCATTTTTCTATACTTCGAATTTGGAAAACTATGGGGGTTGAGACGGCGGCGCAACCGAGCAAGATGCGATGGGGAGAGCTGGAGGAGGACGACGGAGAGGATTTAGATTTCCTCTTGCCACCGAAGCAGGTGATCGGACCGGACGAGAACGGGATAAAGAAAGTTGTGGAGTATAAATTCAACGACGAGGGAAACAAGGTGAAGATCACCACCACCACGCGTGTCCGTAAGCTGGCAAACGCTCGTCTCAGCAAACGCGCGATCGAGCGCCGTTCGTGGCCTAAGTTTGGTGACGCTGTGCACGAGGACGTCGGCAGCCGCCTCACCATGGTCTCCACAGAGGAGATTCTCCTAGAACGTCCACGTGCCCCGGGTAAACGCTCCATTACGCCCTTTTTGTATCATTTATATGCGATTAAAGAACCTGCTTTCCCTAATTTTTTATTAATCACTCTGTTGGATTTATGAGTAGTGTCGAATTGTCGATGGTTTGTTGGCTAATTTTCTCCATCCCTGATAATTTCTTTTGCAGTTACCTTTGTTATACGATTTAGCTGAAATTTGTTGTTGATTTGGTTCTTATCTTGATGCAAATTGTGAACAAGAGTTGGAGTGTAGGGATATTAATATAGTTTTGCTTCCTTCGTATAATCGCAGATGATGTTCCCCTTTTTATGTTTTGATGATTTATTGGTCTGATGCGGGCAATGGGAAGTAGGTGATACTGTTGTATGTTTTGCATTTGAGCATGTTTTTGTAAATTCTAGCTCAAGCATTGTAAGAATTGAGGTTCTTTTATTCCACGGACAATGTGTCCATATTTCTTTGCTTATCCTCCTTTGTTATTCAACGGTTCTGTTATTGGTTGGATTCATTACTATTCTCTCTATATCATAATATACACAGTTTATATGGGGACAGATGCTCTGTTAAAATTTTCTAGGCAAGATCGGCCAATATCTTATGTGCATTGGGTTTGTATGGTAACATAAAGAAAAGTGTTGTACTTGGAGAGGCGGATTGGCATGACACTATTTCAAAGATTCAGATTGCTTTTTGTACAGTTTCCATTACCTTTTTATTTGTTTGGTTTGAATCGTAAGTCACATATACGGTGAACCCCCCTGCAATACTCAAAATCATTTAGAGCACCTATTTTTAAAATCACTCAGCACCCTGCCTGTTTGTTTCCCCACATGTCAAGTTTAAATCTTTAAAGCACACATCTTTTCTAACCTCACGATTATCGGGCCTCAATTATCAGGCACAAAACAAGAGGAAGTCAAGGCTGCCGGGGATCCGCTAGCTCAGATGACCAAAGGAGGAGCTGTGCTCATGGTTTGCAGGACTTGTGGGAAGAAAGGAGACCACTGGACCTCAAGATGCCCTTACAAAGACCTTGCTCAGCCGACAGACACCTTCACCGATAAACCGGCGGCAGAAGCTGGCGGCCCATCGGCCGCCGCCGGAGGAAAGGGTGCTTATGTGCCGCCTAGCATGAGAGGTGGTGGTGGGGGCACTGAGAGGGGGGGCAGTGACATGAGGCGGAGGAATGAAGAAAACTCGGTCAGGGTGACGAACCTTTCAGAGGACACGAGGGAGCCTGACCTGCACGAGCTGTTCAGGCCTTTTGGTGCCGTGAGCCGAGTCTATGTGGCGATTGACCAGAAGACAGGGATGAGCAGAGGTTTCGGCTTCGTCAACTTTGTCAACAGGNGTTATGTTTTGTTATAATTGCAAGTGTTTTGTTTTGAGATATTACTGGAGTTAGTTGTGCTCTTGGATTTGGGTTTTGATGAGTTTGTAATTCATAATTTCATGACTTCTGTGACTTGAAGTTATTGCTTGGTCTTATCTGTGTTGCCTGTTGTGTTGTGTTTCCTTGGTTCTCATCAGCACTTTGATTGATTTGTTAATTTAATTGTTTTTCCCTGGTTGGGAATAGTCCGCATTCAGGTGAATCAAACATGATTGATTTGTTTTTTCCCTGGTTCGGAATAGTCTGCATTCAGGTGAATCAAACAGTAATACAACTATACAACTGTAATAATAATCATGGTTGTTGGTTTGTATGCTAAAAGATTGGCATTATGAGATTGTGAGATATATACATACTCCCACGATTTTCTCTTTTTAAGAGATCCAATGAGTTTTGCTTTCTTGAGAGTTTGTGAGATTTGAGAGCTTCGTTCGATCGCTTCACCAAGATCGTTCGGAGAAAGTGGTTGGGTAATACAGTAGAAGATCTTTTGGTCTTTTATTCATATACGTACAATATATTCCTAGTTTCGTACCTCGTAATATTTATGTAATTCACGGGGTTGTTCATTCTTTACGAAAATCGAGAATCATCACCACCGGAGACCGGCGATCATCATCCTGCACCTGTCGGAGTCGGTCGTGCCTTGACCGCGCTCAGCCGCGTAGACCCGTCCCACCGTGCGGAGCAACGCAGCAAACCTGCACAACTCCCGCGATGTATGCCTACGACCCGCGAGTCTCGCGTTCGAACCGTGAATTTTTCGCGCGACACACAGCACCCCAGCGCTCGTCCCTTAGAGTGGCCCGCGTTGCCCTAAGCGACCCGACAACGAGATCCACACATTTTTTCCAGCGACCCGACAACGAGATCCACACGACTAGCACCCAGCGTGTGAGATGTCTCAGCTACCAACGCACCAATTCGTGCAGTCTCGGGCCAGACGTGACCAGCTCGCTTCAGCTTGAGCCCAGTGCGCGTCCCAGACTGACCCAGACATGACCATTGTGCACCAGTTCGGTCCAGGAGCCTCGACGAGCCCACGATGACCCTAGATAGGTTCGACTTAACCACTGGCGGTTCGATACTGCCTGACGCAAATGGAAAGTGACTGGAGATGTGAGACGCGTGAGACAGTAGAGGTCCGGTGATGGCGAGGCCAAGTCCGACAACCCAATAGACTCTGAGGTTTAGATGATTTCTATCAACGGAAATCAGAAACCTCTCATAGTCGGTAAAAAAATTTAAACCGTAAGTCCTAATCCTAACAATATATTCTGTTGCATTAGGATTTATTTTTAATAGATTTGAAGGTGCACATGGACGACGTTCCTCATAGAACTCAACAATAGGTCGACCGGTGCTACAGGTCGAACGGAGTCCTCTGGTCGACATGGAGGCTGTATGAAGAGGTATTGTTGACAAGTCGAGCTAGGGCCATCAGATGGTCTCATAAAAACTCGACTTGGAAGTACGTTTGTCGAAGGATCGACCTAAGAGACATGGTACATGAGCCTAGCTGGGAAGATGAACTGCCTCACGAGAGGTCGAGCCAAAACATATGGTTGGACTGTCTAATAATGGTAGACTAAAGGATCAGAAGGAATATTGTTAAAATAAAAACCACACGTAGATAGGGTCACGTGGCCTAACAGAATTGGGCAATTTGGGTAGTATGAATGGACAATTCGAGCAGTCTGGATAGCTCATTCGGGCAGTCTTGGAAAACAAGGTAACACCTTTATATAAAAGGGTGAGGTATGTTCATTTACACATCACACACTCTATAAACTTACAGATCTTGATCGTCAGAGTGCTAACGTCGGGAATCTCTCCCGGCACATTTTGCAAGTCTACAAACAGGTCAAGGACGCAGATCAGGTCGTGTGAACCTGAGCCAGGTCGTTAACACACCAAACATAATATATGAAATACCGAAATTGGCGATGTGCATCCCACAGACACTAATCGAACCAAAATATAATTTCGAACTGAAAAAATTAGTTCAGTCAGTGTCGATCAATATTGTGCAACATGTCAGTTATTAATGTGCAATACGTCTAACACTTTTGTGCACTACTTCGGTCGCTATTGTGCATTTTGAACCGATCGAACTTTTGTTCTGAACCAAATTGAAATCAAACAGATTACTTGGTTTATTCGGTCGGTTAACCGAATTACCCTAAATAATTGAAATAATTTATTATTTATATTAAAAGTATATTGAGCATTTTAATAATTTCATTTAATATTTTTATATTATTTTTAGTTGAAAAGACATAATACACAAAATACCGAAATCGATAATGTTCGTTTAGTCTAATATTGTGTTACTTATATTATAAAATTTTTTATATTATTAATATTTTTAATTATTATTTTATATTATTTTTATTTAATATTTTTATTTATTATTTTAATTAATATGTATAAAAAAAATAATATGTTTTTATAATTTATTTTTTATAAATTATAGATTTGACCCCTGGACTAAATACAAATATAATCAAAATTCTTGAAATTGCAAATAGGTTCTTAGAAATTATCTAATTTAAAAAAAATAAAAAATCAATCCCCAAATTAAAGTTTTGGTTGATTTTTGGACACACCAGTCGCCGTGCGTTGACATCATCGATTTTATCAAACTCCATCTTCAGTCGAGCCCTCACAGCCATGAAAATGGAGTCGTTAGACAACGGCGGAGGAGGAAATCAAGAGGAATGATGGGATTTCGCAGAGGGAGGCGTGGCGGTGGCAACGAATATGGAAGGGCTGACAAACGTCGGTGTGCTGTGTGTGTGTGGCTGGCAGTGAGATTGTGTGTGCGTCTTGTATTATGTGTGTGTGTGTGTGTCTGTGTGCGTGCGCGTGCGTTGTGTGTGTGTCTGTGTGCGTGCGCGTGCGTTGTGTGTGTGTGCATGGTCAATGTGTGTGTGTGAGAGACAAGGATGGTGATTGGGATGATGTAATAAGTAGTAGCCACATGGCATGGAATGATTGGGTGTGGGTGAGTGTGTAGTTTGTATGAGCCCATAGTTTGATAAGGAAAATGTCTAAAATATTTTTAATAAATATATAAATATTAGATATTTTTTTTTTACAGTTGGATCATACGATGTGATGCTTTATTTCTTTCACTGAACATCATTCTCATGAACTCATTCCTTTATATATTATATACTAGTACAACACATGTGTATTATATGGGTGTTAAATTAAGAAACATGTATAAAAAATATTAAAGCTCTTATTTTAAATTTTCTTTTAAAACTAAAATAATTTATTTTTTATTTAAATTTTCAAACTATATTTTTTAATCATAATGGTTAAATACCCGCATATAATTTTAGAATGATGTCAAACTAATTTATATGTGATTTTTTAATTTGGACAATTAATTATTTAATTTTATTATATTGACATCATACTAATTAACTTTTAAACAAAGTTCATTTTTTAAAGAATAACATCATATTAATTCGTCTTCGAAATCAGTAATATGTGAATATTAGAGAGAAAGAATGAGAAATAAATTAATATGACTGATTTAAGTGAAGATATTAAATATGTATTAGAAAAAAATGAAATAAAAGGAACGTATTATGGTAACTATACAAGAAAAATATGGAATGAAATAAAAAAAACGATTGTTTCAATAAAGGAAAATGTTTAATGTATTATGAAAATAATCATGCCTAATGAATATTTGACATGACACCCGAGCCTATTATATATCAATCCAAGGCTAACAATATGACAAATAGAATTCCGAAACATGCAAGTCTGCCACTTAATCTCGACACATTCCAAAATTAGATATCCGAAAGATTATATGGGGGAGATGTGAGGGCTAAAAACGTGGTTGGGACATAGCAAGTAATGGAAGAGAAAATCTACAACATCAAAAAAGCCGCTTGAGCTTGAGGGCCAAATTTGATGATCCCTGCTTTTCGGATGGGTTTGTGAGGGAAGTTTCAGCTTCATTTTCCATTTAATTTCCTCTATAAATTAACAATCCCAATCTTATTGTTCAATCATCACACCAAAAAATTCGAACACCTCACTTGACCTCCACTTTAGTTCCCAATAAAAAGTTCCTTCCTTTCCCTACAAATTAACCTATATGCTTTTCTACCTTACAAGTATGATAAAGTTTTCAGATTTGCTTTGCATTTCTGGGTGAGCCCATCAGGTAAGTTGCATATATGCGCACAGATTATATGATTCAGTTCTTTTTCCTTTTTCTTGATCGCTACATTCTATTCGTTTTTGTTTGAATTTGGTCCGTATTGCGTTTGAGAAATAGGTTATCATTTAAGGCGTCCATCTTACATTGAATGTTGATTCATCAAGAGTATTTTTCCTCTATTTTGATGGATTATCCTCGTCTAGGCTGTAAAACATGTGCTTGAGTTACCGGGTATACTCACCTGCTACCGAAGTTTTGATCTTTGACGCATTTCTTTACAGACATTTTGCTTTTGGATTATGTTTGATTAAACCAACACTGTTTTTCTTCGTTCATTTTGTGAATTGGATTGAATTCGTGGAATGTTTTACCAATGGCAGTTATGTATTTTCTTTTCTGCACATATAGTTTGTTGCTTCATGTTTCTCAATTGAAACATGCCGGATTAGTGAACTGTCTATTCTGAAAATAAAAATAGAGAGATGCTTTCGGATGAAATTGGTAATGGTATATTTTTGCTGAAATTTGTTGTAGAATACTAGAAAGTCTATTCTGGCTTGCTTGTTTGTAATCCTTCTGGGTCCAAATAAGTAAAGGAATGCATATCCCCCGGCACATTTCTTTCTTTCATACTTCATAGTAGTCCTACTTTTTGTGTAGTGTTAGTCTTTTGGTGGCTGAATTAATTATTATTAGTTATCCTTTCTGAGGATATAACCTAGACATATATCCTTAGGAAGGATGCTTGTGCTGGTTTTAAGAATATGATTATGAAGATTTAGGTGGACATTTGTTGGCTCATTAGTGCGAAGATGTCTTCTTTTAGAGTCTTTATGTGGAGTTTTCCTGTAAGGTATTGATAAACTTGTTCAATGGAGAGAGTTGAGAAATATAAATGTAATTAACTAATGATTAACTCTAGACAATTACTTAATGAATCATATGCTCGGTATCTGACTGATAAGATGAGTTCAGTTTGTGGTTATGGAAGTGTATATTCTATATAGGAAGAATAATTGGGGAACTGTGCTCAACATCTGGTACTTCTCTGACTATCAGAGCCACAATTATGAGATGTTTAGATAAAAAAATAAGAAAAATTTAATTTCACTCTTCTTTTCTGATCATATAACTGTGGCCCCATAATTTTAGTACAGAATTAAATACCAGAATCTTTTCCTCCAAGTGATAGATAATTCTACTTCATGTTGAGATAATTGTTAGCAACCTAAGCTTGTTGAGGAAGATCTGTGTTATCATTTAGTATTAACAGAGGATTCTCCACCTGAAAGAGAAGGAGATATATCCTCCGCATGCCATTCTAATTTACAGTCATGGCACCTTTAGAAAACTGTTTACAGGAGCTTTCCACTTCCAGGTGTTGGAATGCCTTTTGATTTATATTTTAATTTTATGGCAGACTAGTAGATAGGGAAATGAGTGATTTCAATAATTTTTTTGTATGGATCGAAGAATGAGATTTTGACAGTTGAAAGAAAGCAGATAAATTGATGCTAACATCAAACTGAATAAAATATAAACATAGATCTTAGCATTAGGAGCTTGATGTGCAACTTTATTTTCTTTTTACATGAGTTCTTGGTTGATCATCATTACGTTGTCATATTCTTGTGGAATTCCTTAGGTGAAAGCTGTAGTGTTCTTAAGAAATCTAACAACTATGAATCAAAAGTATAAAAGGATTTGCAGCGTTGTTATTTATCTGATTGATAGTAAACTTTTGCATGCTAGTTGTGTAATGTATTATAATGTTCGCTTATCATGTTAGAATATTACTCTTATGGTATAAATTCCTTTCATTTCCTTGTATCATCCTATGTAGGTTTGATACAATTCCATTCTTTCTCCATTTCAACTCATTTGCTTTGGATGAAAACCACCACAATGTGCTTCTCTCTCTTGCAACTTCCTAGATGCAGAGTTTACTCCATAGGTAATTCTCTGTGGGATAGTTACTACAAGTTAGGTAGAACAACCGGTAGCAGTTCATGTTACAGTGTTCTTTGTTCGAAAAACCACGACCTGGAACGTGAGTCCAGCAGGTGGACCAGACGAACCATAAAAACTAATGAATCAGGAGCCAACAATGACAGCTTGATTAGCGACAAGAGTCGCATGCATGAGATCATTCCCGAGATATCAAAAAGCTTCAAGTCAGAAACTGCCAAGGAACAAAGGAGCAGAAAAGTAGGTATTAGAAACAAGATCAGTGAGATTACAAACACTAAATTTAGTAGGTATAATAAAAAACAAACAAAGGAAGTAGAATCTGATGAGTATTACATGGAGTTGGCCAAACTAGCAACCGTCATTTGCTTCGATATTGAGACGACTGGCTTCGGCAGGGAAAGGGACAGGATCATTGAGTTTGCATGCCAAGATCTTAGAGGCGGTGAAAACAGCACCTTCCAAACACTAGTGAATCCGGAGCGCGAGGTGACTAACGATGATATTCACGGGATCACGAGCGAAATGGTTAACAGACATGACGTGCCTAGGTAATTTATAATACAGCGACATAGCAAAATAATGATATTTCTTGATCTGATGCTAGTTTGTGCATGTGTGTTCCTTATAATTATATTGCTTGTTTACATTGTGGCTTAGTCTCAAAAAACAGTCATCTTTATTGTTGGGAAAGTAAATATTAGAATGTAGCCTTTTGGTATATAATGTTAGGGACATTGAAAAACAAGCCTCTCTATTGTGATGAAAGGGAATATTTATTGAAAACATAACTCAGCCTTTTGTTTTAATACAAAGTACTCTCTTCGTGTCTGATAGAAATTTGAAGATATGCTCTGGGTTTTGTTACTCTGGCTTTGTTGTTTTTGTAGGATGAAGGAATTTATTCCTATCTTGATGCAGTACGTCAGAAGTCGTCAGCTACCTGGTGGAGTTGTGGTTTTTGTATCTCATAATGCCCGCACTTTTGATGTACCCTTTCTGAAGAATGGGTTTATTCGATGTTCTTGTGAGATTCCCAAAGACTGGCTTTTTGCCGACACCCTTCCTTTGGCTCGTTCCGTAATGAAGCTGAAAGGTTAACTTTTTATTTTTTATCTTATTTTTTACCTGCCCTCTCTCACTCACACATACTATAAATATACGTATTTTTTTTTTCATATTTACATTATTACACAAAGTGATTGGTAATATGCATGTTGTTTGATATATTCAGGATCAAAAGATCTTCCAAAAACATCACTTCAAGCACTCCGCGAACATTATGGAATTCCATTGATTGGGCCGGCCCATAGAGCTTTATCGGATGTACACTCGCTGGCACTTATTCTCCAGAGGTTAACATATGATCTCAAGTTACCTATGTGGGGCCTCATTAAAGGTTCCTTTAGGGTAGGGCATTGATCAAAGTTCCAGAATTTGATGAGAGAAATGAGATACTGTTGAAGCTAGTAACTTCATCTTATTCTTGATGCTCATATTTCATATTTTGATTGTTATATCATGTTTAGATTGTTTCTAAGTTAAACAGGGCATGGGATTAGATCAAAGCATGCCGTGCTAAAATTATACATTGTTCATCTTCATTATTGTCTGAAAAGCAGTTCAGTACAAGATTGAAAAGCTCCGTGTTGTAGTTGGACGTGGGATTAAATTGAAGCACGCTTGCTTAAATTGCGTATTGTTCATATTCATCTGTATTCCCAAACAAGATGTTTTTGTATTCTTGTGTCACAAGTCAGGTGAGTTTGGTATATTGTGAAGTTATTACCTATGAAGGTTGATGAAAGCAAAGGGCTGTAGTTTGACTACTGTTCCTATTTGCAGTCTCATGCATCAGAGTTTAAGGCTAAACTCAACTGCCTGATCATGCTTTCCTCACAGCTGCTATTAACAACAGTGCAACGAATAAATCCTATTTGAGTGATATGCTTTTGCTATTTTTGCGCAATCCCACCAGTACGATTTGTACAAGAAGTAACTGGATAATTAAATCCAATTTGAGTGGTAATGCTTTTAGTAAATACCATAAATATGTTGCGTCAATTTCTTATTGTTTATTATGTGCCACGATATTATTTTAATACTCAAACTAATCAAGAGGAACAATATCTGATTGATAAACCAAGAAAACCTCCCAACACAACACAGACATGGGACTCAGAACTCGGGAAGATAACCAATTCCTTTTACCATTGTCCTAAAGCCTATTCCTTATCTGGCGGACTGACACAATAGTTGTTGTTTCATTGAGATATCTTTTCTTTTATTTTTCATTTGTCCTCAACAACTTACAAAGAGTATATCGAGATATACATTGTCATAATGCAAGATTGACTCGCCATTATTCTCCATTTCAGAGCTATCAATTTCAACTCAACGTTTTATTATTGTATCAGTATGCGAAAATGAAGTTGAACTTACCATAACTAACTTCTAGCTCGAGCTGTATCAGAACTGAGTAATTGGAATACGAACTCCCATGTCACATTTTTGGTATCTTGACAGTTGGTTTATTAGCAAGCTGGACGATGAGAAAGCCGATTATTGAATTGGAGGTTGACCAACTCCTTTCGGAGACACAGTTGCATTTCTAACAATCAATATATAGTACCAAGACATGTTCCTTATACAATCATGAAGAACGATAAACAATGGTCGTGCAGAAATGCCGCTTTTCAGTTTTCCCACTTCAAGAAATGAATGAATCCATACACACATAAGAATAACTCAGCCTCATCAACTAGAACCAAAGGCCAACATTTTGTGAACAAATATTACAACAATATTTCCAGGTAAA